GTAATAACTCTTCTCCGATTAGCCTATCCCGATCTGTTAAAAATTTATGATATTTTCTAGTATCTTCCTGCCTTTCTCAGCCTCAGTAATAACCGAAAAATTCTCGGGATCTTCTCCATGTTCCATTTTATTTGGATTAGTCCTAGAAATTGGGGAGTTATGGGAATTTATCCAGGGGATCAAGCCCAGTTTCTTTCTTATATCTTTTATATAACTTGGAACGAATTTTATCTGTTAAAATACTTGGTAAACCAGTTAATTTGGCATACCAATCCAGATATTCAAAGGTTAACATTTTATCAGAATTGGTCTGTGTAGTATTCATATTGCCGTTTTAAATAATTCCAAATCAATTTAATTCACAATAGCCAACAAAAATAAAATATTGTGCGAATTTGTTTCAGTATTATATGGTCCTGCTCTTTATTAGGAGGCAATGAAAAGGTATAAGAAGATGGAGTTTATGCGGTTATTTCAATTTCACGTTGCTCGCATTTAATATAATAGGACCCAGTTTCATATCTGCCTTCTACACCTTCACTACTGAATTCTCGATATAAGTCAGGATATTGCTCTAGTATTTTATTACAGAAATAGGTGCGGTCATTCTTTGGGTCCTTGGGTTTTGAGATAAGTGGTATACCAACATTGGTTTTTGTATCTGAGGATGATGAATCAGAGACTCGAAGCTTTGCTTCCTCACTTACCTTGGTTTCTGCTAAATCATTTGAACCAAAAGGTTTGGTTCGATCCTGACCATTGGTCAGGATGTCATGTGATTTTTCTGTGACCTGTTTTATAATATTTAAAATCTGGACATTGGTTAATTCTGATATAGATTTTGCACCATATGAAATTCCATAAGCTTTGTCTATACCGATCCCCTTAACTTCTTTCTGGGTTATAGGATCGATAATTTTTCCAAACAATTTATAAATAGTTCCAGCTCTTTGTGTCTTTTTGTATAGATTCACATCTGAAACTTTGGGTAAAGAAGCTTTAATCATAATATAAACTTGAGTCTTTGCAGTTTTCTCAGCAATCCCAGTTTTGGATTGAATTTCAGCAACACTGTTTTGGTATGCTTCTCTATAAGTATACCAGCATATGATTTCTTTTTGCTTGGCCTCTACCATTTTACCTTCCGCAATTTCAGCATCAGAAAATAATTGAGCTAGCTCTCGTCCACCTTTATCATTGCCTATATTCACGTCACTCTCTTGAGTTTTAAGGTTGTTAATTGGTGAGGTAAGTACTCCTTTTTGAATAAATAGAATCGCTTCTTGAATTAAACCTTGCTCTATTCTCTGATTATATGGTATTTTTATTTTAGAAGAAATGGCACTTTGTGACTGATTAATAGGCGCTTCTGAAATACTTTGGTTCTCGTTCTGATAGATAGGTGTTTGTTCTGATTCAATGGAGGGAGTATCCCGAGAAGTTGTGAGAGCCACTTGATCTTGAAGTTTCTTTTCCCTGTTTCTATCTCTCATCATAATACTAACACTTCTTTTATGTTCTGATTCCAGGAATTCATTGACCTCTTTATCTTCTAACGATTTAGTCTCTGTGCAGATAGATGTATTTGACTTCTGGCAAATGTCAGAGGCAGACGTATCATTGTGCTAGCTTCGCTAATAGTTATATCAGATGCGGTAGCATCCTCACTTCGTGAGACGGAATTCGATATTTTTTTTTCATCCATCTCACCACCGATCTTGACTGGTTCTGCTGATAACCTGATTTCTAAGGAGTGTATCTCTGAAGTTTTCAAGGCCAAATCATCTTTCATTCGTTTCAATTCGTCATCTTTCGATGCCAATACATTTTCCATATGCGCCAATTCACTATTTTTCGAAACTAGATTAGAATTTAAAGCAGATAATTCGGTCCTAAGGGGGGTAATCTCAGATTCTTTCATAGACAAGTCCTTCTGAGCCGAAGATAATTTCGTCTTCAATGCTTCTATCTTAGATAAGAAATCTTTCATCTCTTTGGATTTTGAACGAATCTTGTCTTTGAAATTACTAAGTAAAAGATCTTTATCAGTAATGCGGGATTTGAGAGTATCTATTTTTGAGCGTAATTGTTTAACCTCGTCTGTAAGCCGATATATATGATTGGAAAGTGCCTTATTATTG